CATAGCAGGACAAGCACATTCAACCGTGTCCTCTGTACCCTCCCATCTTATTCCAGACGCTGGTATTGCCCTCTGCTGAAGTCCATCAAACCCCCCCCCCCTTGTTGGAAGAGTGCTCTCCGCTGGTGTCTGTTCTTTTTTAAAGGGCAGAGATGAGTCCTGGGCTCCGCAGTCTTTCCAAGCATCCAAATTAATTTGCGTCTGGGCAGCAACATAAAGCAGCACGGGGCTATTTGATGGGAGTGTAGGGCAATGACATGCACTGGCAGTCATGCCTTGATCTCTTGCTTTCTTCCCTTGTCACTTTGCACCTCACCTTAATGCCAGATTCACGCCAGCCTCATCCACATGGGTGGCACATGAGCCAAGACTTGTGCTTCTGAGAGGAGTAATAACTGCCGTGCTCTGGGAAAACACTTCAAATCTCTGCTTTTGTGCGTGTATCAAAAATCCTTCTTAACGTAAGCTTAAATTACCAAACCCCTAAAACCGCCAGCGGCCCAAAGAGAAACAAATAGCCCACCAATCATAAACTGCATTGTCCTCACAGCGGATAAAATGAGCATGCACTCCATTGAGCAATTTCAAGAAAATCCCTCGCCTAATTTTCTGATCAATACCTCAAGAACAGATCGATTTCACAATAATAAACACACTAAGGACATCTACAAAACAGCATTCCTTTAGTTTGATAGATGTCAAAGTGAACCTAATGCAATTTGACATGCATTTGAAGTCGTGATCCAAAAAGGAGACCACAGTTAATGCCTAATTAGCGTCCCTAAATAATAAAGCAACTTAGACTAATAATTATTGCATGTAGCCATTCTACCAATTGCACTGACAATTAACCTTTCTCAACTGGTGATTCGCAATTTGAGTAAATCCTGTTATCAGCAAATATAACACATGGTGCACACACACACAAACACACACACACGTTTCAAACACCACTCAAGGAAATCTATGCAGTGTTTACGGTAGTGAAGCAGAACAACAAAACAAACAGCAGATATCCACTTTCAGTAAACACCACCCAACCACTTATACTGTATCTTCCCAGTGGCTTAGAGTGGGTGGGGAATCAACTTTAGGTGGCTGCTGTGAATGTCATTGAACTACTTGTGTTTACGCAGGCTTAATATTGCTGGAACAAGGTCTCTTTAAACATACAGCGAACGCTTCTGAATGTATCGGGTCAATTTTACCCGAAGGTCTTGTTTTTATAAGAGACTGGTGTTGCCGTCAAGAAACTGACAAGTTGAAATTAACAGCCTGTGGAGAGGTGGAAGAATTTAAGAAGCAGCAATGGAGAACCTCACAAAAGAAAGTGCTGCCGTCTCCGTCTCTGCTACTGACCACTGCTCAAATAACAAACGCTGACCAAGTCCCTGATGTGAGATCACTGGAGCCAAAAATACAATTACCCAGGGACAAAATAAAGGTGAAAAGCGTTCTCCCAAAATGTCTCTCCTTCATCCCAATTTGGCAGCACTTGGCTTGTTGCCCACTCACATTGTGTGGACGGCCCTGCCACTGTTGCCATGGGGATGTGTAGACCGGTGCAGGCCCTGAAGGCAGAACGGTCGGGCGGTGAGGTGGGGGTTATCATCAGCAGCAGACTCTGCTGGGCCCCCATCCAGAGGCCTGGGTGCAGGAGGAGCTGCAAGGCTGCGGAAGTCACCCGCCCACCACCCCAACTCCCCTCCACACCCCACCTGCCTCTCCCCCCTGGTGGATGCTGCTGCTGTTTCCATCCCAGCAGAGGCTCTGCGGTGGGACTCTGTAATGCAGGGCTCCAGCCTGTCCACTGGGGGTCGGCTGCCTGACTCCCGTAAGCCCGGGCCAGACGGGGTGGGCTGAGGTTAGAAGGGGCCCGGCCAGGCGAGCTGGACTGTGGCCCAGTGCGGTGACTGCCTGTCTGCCCAGGCGCTGCGCCACGCTGCCACTCCTCCCTGGGCTCGTGCCCCTGCACTTGGATTTCAAAGGGATGTGACAGGGGGACTGGCTCTCCCTCTCCATTGCAGGATCCCTGCCCCACCAGCAGCTTCTCCAAAGCCCCCACCTCAAGCTTTCAGCCCCCACTCCTTCCCAGCCCCCAAATGCCCCTCCAACAGCTTTTCTGTTTCAACCATGAACCCAGGCTCCCTCTCACACTGTGCCATTCCCACCACTGCTGCCTCACATTTGGGAGGAGAAGGGGGAGGTTGTGCTGCTACACTGCACCCATCTGCCCCATGTCTTTCCATGCTGTGGACCATGATGCTGCAGCATGGCTCTCTGGGCGCCGTAAAGACTTTGGCAACTACATTGGGCCTTCAGTCCCCCCCACCCACCCACCCCTCTTTGTATGCTCCCTGTCCGCCTGATGCACACACTGATGCCCACCATCTGATTTAAAATGTACTTACACAAAAACAAGTGCATGTGATCATGCTCCTGCATTGGAGAGACAGATGGTTATTACAGATGGATGATCTGGACTCAAACTGAAAAAATTTACTAAACTAAATTATTATTAACACTCCAACTCAAAAATTGTTTAGGCTACCTCTGTTACGCCCACTGAACCCCCACGCCATCTGAGAGAGATCGGAGTCAGATGTGGTGCCGCCGTGTCTGTGTGGCAACCAGCTCGTTCAGCAACTGGCCCATCATCAGTGAGCATCCTACAGAACCAAAATTGACACTGACAGGCTGCATTTCAATTGGCTGAGATCTCCCTTTTCTCTCTCTCCCACTCTCTCGCTCTCTGTCTAGGTTTCTCTCTTCATCGCTCGCCGCATGGCATTTCTCTGGCAGGTCCTCCAGTGAAATTCCTCCCCTCCTGGTCTCGGCATTCCCGCAGCCAGCCTCCCTGCCTGGGCAGAGCGGAGTGGCTGGGGCTGGGTAGGGAAGGCGCTCCCCCTGAGCCGGTCCCAAGCTATACGGGTACAACTCCAGGCCACAGCACATTCCTCCAGCTGCTGACCAGTCCCCCCAGCAACCAGGAGAGAGGTGAAGAGAGGAGGGACAGAGGCTTAGTGCTGGTGTATTATACACTATCTGCTGGAGTTCTGCATGAGTGTAACACTGGTGAAAATGTGCATGAAATACCCCGAAAGGAAACTCATCACTGTGCTGTGCTGTGAAAAGCTCTCAGATCATCTCGAGTGATCCATTTCTTTGAATTGTTCTACAAAGGTTCAGTTCAATGGAAAAACCTCCACAGTGATTATTTGATGCTCAACAAGGAACCAACAGAAACCTGATGCTTCTCATCACATCATCAGTACAGTCCTGTCCTCCTCAGAGATGTGGCGGCGTGCACATCACACTCGTCAGTCCAAGGCTGCTCCTGGACAGCTCAAGCAGCAGTAGGACAGTAGCCGGACGGTCCCCTCCTCCTCCGCTCCCTCCTACTTGTCTCCCCCCCAAAGCTGAGCCAGGCACTGTGTTTACTCTCCTAATTACAGGGGAGGGGCCGGCTGACAGGCGAGCCATCACAGATTCCCCACAGGCCTGGGGCTGGGAACGCTACAAACACCCGCCGCTGTCTCCCAAATGTGACGGCGATGTCCAACTGTCACTGGGGAGCCTTCACTGGCAAAACCCAAGGGCCCAAAGAGAGATATTAAAGACATGAGAGGGATTGGCAGAGTTGGCACTAACAGGGGGTACGCTTGAGAAGTCGGGAGTGGGGAGCTGGTGGCACCGCCAAAGTGTCATTCAAAGCAAAGTGGGGTTTGGACAGGGCACAAACACTGGATTTACACACACACAGACACACACACACTCACACACACAAACACACACACACACACACCACATCATTGCTTTCACTCACTCACTCTAAGGCGGGAGAGTTACATGAACCAGACAAGAAATCTATCGACTGGAGCAACAAATGTGATGGACAATGTTGGAAAAGAAAATTTCATTCAAACTGTCTAAATTGAAAATGCTGTGCAGTGACTCAGAAGACACACACAACTCATTTTGATGACTAAGAGGGACATGATATTTAAAGGAACTCTTTTGCTCCAAAATAGGTTTTGTCTCATTGTTATACTTTACTAAAATGTTTTACCGTCACTGAGGATTTTGACACATGAAGGCTGTTTTCAAATTCTAGTTTTGGAAATATTTCTGTCACCTCACTTAAAATCTGAGTTTAAGAATTTATGAAGTGGACAGAAGTGATGAAAACCAGAAGACAAGAAAACGTCTAGTGAGACACCATATTTATTATGGATAGTAAGGAAGGTTCTGTGTCTAAAAAGTTACAGAGCTAGGAGATAAAATTTAAAAAAAGTGTGTGGGGGCATTGACTGGTTTGCTACTTACACAAATGTGATGCGAGAACTGTGCAGAACCTCTTAGGAAGGACTTTTCAGTGAAGATGGAAAAATATTTTGCGAATAGAACTTTTGGAATCAAAAATATCTACGTGCTTTTTGGATTTTTTTTTTAAACGAAAGAGAAGAGGTGTTTTTTAGGAATATTAATAAAGCAATGAACTAAATTGTGGAAAAAACACATCACTTAAGTACTAAATACTTTCACAAAAATAAAATGATACAACCAAACAATTTTATACTTAAACGTAAGGATTTGAAAAGGCCTGATTAACAAATCAAAACAGCTAATTCACAAACTTAGATAAACTGAACCAGTGTGTGTGCGTATGTGTGTGTGAGAATGTACACTAACGCTTCTCTCAGGGAGGTATAATCCACTAGAGGTTGTAATGGTCCAGTGCTGTTGGGAGGGGGGGGTCTGAGTGAATCCTTGTGGAAGCACGGCGGCTGACCCTATCACATATTCAGGTCAAATAAACAACACTGTGTTGAGAGAAAGGTTAAAACGGCAGAGTCATCCCTTCACCAGCCTCTCCCATCCAACGGCAACACACACCTCCCCCCCCCCCGGAGAGGCAAGACAAGAAAACCATTTGATAAATCATGAATAGTCACAGTTGCGCGAGTGCTGTGACCAGTTCTAAAAATTTATTATGGGGATTACACACAAAATCACACAATGTAACATTTTCAAATGTGTTATGAATGCCTCCCAAAATCCAATTCAAATCCTAGGTTACCAAATAAGCCTGAACAAATCCCCCCACATTGAGTTCCTTCCTCCTTTGAAGACTGGAGAGGTCCAGTCTGCAGGGCAGGTTTTACCACGCCGTGCACACACCTCAGCACACAGAGGAGAAGGCTACTGATGGTGAGGTGAGGCAAGGGAAGGAGAGCAGAGGGAAGCTTTCAAAACTGATGTCTTTATTTGCAAAACTGATCTTTAATCACTTCAGAGACAGAAGCAATGACACTTCAATACAAAATGAATTTACAATGGAAGAACCGAGTGTGTGTCTGTGTGTGTGTGTGTGTGTAGAAGAAGCAAAAAGCATCCGTATTGTGTGGAGATGAGCTCCTCACACACTTGAGTCAGTCAGTTTTAACCTTGAGGCGGCAGAGTGTTCTCCCGCCTTCCGTTCGTCCTTGACTGTTTCCTGCCCGTCTCCACTTTGCCTCCTCATTGATGATCTGAGGGCGAGTGTGTTTAATTGCATCCGTTTGTTTGTTGGCAAACTCCTGCACAAACACAACACAAACAAGTATAGCACTAATTAAAAGGCATGTCATATTAATGGCAAGAGCACACTTGGCAAACACACGCAGAGTTACGGAGGCACCACATTTGAATTCATGGGAAGATCTGTTTTAATTTTATGATCAGCACACCTTTTCATAATAAAAGCACAACCTGGGAGCTTGATTACAGACTCATTATTATTTGATGTAATGATTTCAAGCAAAGAAAAATTTGCTAAACTAAATTTATGGAGATAAAATCTGATGCAGAGTGAAATCTTTGTCAGTAAAGTCTTCTCAGAACAGACACTCAATGAGGTATCACCCTTTTAATCCCAAGGGACAGCTCTGAATGTGTTTTGATTACCTCTGGGGTCACTTGCATGTTACATTACACAGAGGTTTAGCTCCTTTGTGACAAGGGAACAGTGTGCAGGGGGAAGCCCTCAGTTTAGACGTCTTGCTCACTATAAGCAGAGCACCTATTTTTTTCCAGCAGCAGCACCAGCAACGTATCCATCAAACCTGCCAGGCTAATTAAAATACAGCTTGTGATTATCCTACTTCAGCTCATCTCTCACTCTCTCCCTCACACACACACACACACACACACACAC